ACTACGGGCGCCACGTCATGTATGGCCAGTGCGATGTACAATCCTGTTAAAATCGGAGATAGGCTCAATCCTTGTCCTACCCCCATGGAAAAGTCCATAGGTTCCAGTATCCGTCTGTTAAACATGAACCTGGTCTATCTATTTTTGACGTAGCTTTCAAAGTATGTGCATAGCTTGGGGTCAAATCCCTGTTTTGCCATGATTTTCAAGATAATATTGTGATTAAACGACGGGAAAAATTGAGCGACGTCCAGAAGGACCGCCAACAAATTCAGCCCCTGTTTCCACATCTGCTTAATGTTATGCACCAGCTGAATGCCCGCATCCTGCGTGCTATGTTGAATTGTGCTGCCGAACTGGCATGGGTGTAGAATTCCATATCTTTGTCCCTCGAACTGCATGCGACGTGCAATTATCTTCTCCATCGGCGTGCCCAAGCAATTGAGCAATACGATGAGCTGGTATGCTTTCGCCTTCGTGTAGTCTGGCCTATTAGGCTTGGAGAATACAACTGTGTTTGATACTTTAAATATTTGTAGTTGTGCGCCATGCTCTATGCACGCGTTATAGTATGCCACAATAGGTCCCTCGATGTCCCTCTTGTCAGAGGTCTCCGGGTTGTTCTGCGGCCCGTTCTCATCCTTCAGAATTCTCTTTGACCAGAACCAAGACATGTTGTCTGGTCCCGGCGCCAAAAAATTACTAGTGTCCTGAAGTCCTTCACGTAATTCCTTGCGCAATATGCGTTGGAATTTCCGTGTTGGTTTCTGTTCCATCCTAGTAATCAATCGGTCATCAATCGGGGTAGGGTTGGACAGTGTAAACTGTTCATGTAGGATCTTGCCTACTGTGTCATGTCACAAAATCCTAAATTGCCTCATGAGATAGCTGCCTCGAGCTGCCTCGGCACTCCCAGCTGAAGCCTTGTGATGCCATCATGAGTGCTCCCTGAGCCAATGAAAAGACTTTGTGGACACCTGTGAGAACAAAATACCCTTCCGGGAAGGCTTCCCACGGTTAATCTAGCTCCCTCGGGCTCGCTTAAGCGCTTCTCGTGTGAATCTCATGAGAATAGTGTTTGCCTCACAAGGCATCGTGAGCCAGCGCTAGTCCATCCCATTATGAGGCATCACATTGCCTCATGGGTCGGTGATAAAAGTTGTAACACAGGATCGGATGCAACTTGTCCCTGACTACCTGTCAGGACCATGTTCACTTCTTGTCTCCTAGGTTTGGTCCACTCCACCATATCCCAGATACGGCTGAAGTCGGTCTTTTTCATAATTCCTTCGAAGAACTCTTTCTTCGCTTTCTGGGCCGCCCCTTTGAGGGCCTTACCCCTGAATTTGACTTCATTTTTCAGGTTGTCTATTTTTACTACTTACTGTGTCAGAAAAAAAAATGATTATCTCGTGGCGTCTAGATAACTCATGAGGCTTGAGAACCTGAGGTCATCATAAGAAGAGGGAAATAGTTCGTAATTGGTTGATGAGTCGCCTGTGATCATCATGAGACGCTAGGCAGATCTCGAGATAACACTCTGAGGAAAAACTTATCTCAAGATAACCTGATGAGGCGAGAGTAATCACGAGAGATCATGATGTCGAGAGAAATCAAGTGCAGTCATGAGCGATTAAGAACACACAAGATGAAGGTAGGGTTATTTATATTTTGTTTACATACTAGTTTACATGAGCTTCATTTACTTACTCGACTCGCCTACACTACTTATTACTCTATTCACTGGGCTTACACAAATCGCTTATTGCTATTACTAGGCCGCTTACGCTGTTCGCTACTATAATTACTCACTTACCTTTTATCATTCAACCAGAGCTGCGTACAGAGGCTGCGGTCTCCGTGCTTTGGTGAGTAGGACCCAAATGCCACACGGTCCCTTGTATCAGCTGTGCGGGTGGCTGCGACAGGGGAGGGACATGCTCGGTTGTTGGCCAGGCAGCCGTGCTTACGCCACATGCACGACCATACCTGGGAACAGCGAAATCAGCATCAGAGTCATCTATATTACACCATTTAGCCTTAGGTGACATTTCCGATGAAGAAAGTATTACAAACCTTCGAAGACTGCAGTGCCGAAGGCCCGGTAGAAGGGGGAGGCAAAAGTGTTCGGCAGCTTGGAGAACTGGCTGAGAAAGCAGCTCAGGAAACAGCACTCAGGTTCTGATGAAGAAAGACGGCCACAGGAGGGGAACCTGGTCAGTCAGCCTCGGTGAATGGCAGGCTCTGGCCCAAGGTTTGTCAACAACCTGCTGCCGCGCTTCAGTGCATTGCAGCAGCAGCTTGAGCTCAGCGATGACGAATCAAGTGAGGAGGACTTGCCGCTATCAGCCGCGCAGCGCAGCGGACGGCATGTACGGACTTCACGGGCCTGCAGGTCCGCGCTGAGGACTCATCTGACAAGGAGCGGCCGCTGTCGCAGCTGCTCGACAAGACGAAGCAGAGGCTGCCGTCGCTGACGCAGAGCCGGGGCACGAGCCTGTTCGCTCCGATTGGGAACATCCTTGGCGATGCATTCAAGGTGCGCAGCAGTGGCAATGGCGAGAGCAGCGAGGACGAGGATGGCAAGCCCCTGGGTCTGCGCGCGTTGCGGCCCTTCCCTACATCATTACAATTCCAGAGTGCGGTGGGCGGCGGGGACGAGGACGACGAGGGACCCCTTGCACTCCATCTGGAACAGATCCGCCGCTCGCAGTTCTTTGCCTCAGCTGCACAGCAACAGCAATGGTAGGTGATAGTGACGAAGGAGTCGGAGATAGAGTCCGCGTGGTCACGGTGGACGTTGATGGGGATGGGCCTGCTGTGTGGAATGTTGGCGTCGGTGCTAGAAGTCATGGTGACGAAGAGTGCGGTGTCGAAAGCGGGCAAAGAGTGGGCACAGACAGAGGGGAATTGTTGGGTCTGTCAACCCATTGGGGTGTGGGAGAAGTTCGCACTCGGCGTGTTGAGCTGGGTGGAAGGGCCATGTCAACAGAGCTGATTGGACGGCGAAGACTGTTGAGGTCACGGTGGCTGTCGGGACGCGTCGTCAGCACAGCCCACGTACCCGTCAGGTCTGTCAACCCATCGGGGCGTGGTGCACTGAGCAATTCGCACTTGGTGTGTTGAGCTGGGTGGAAGGGCCGTGTCAATGGAGCTGATTGGACGGCGAAGACGGTCGAGGTCACGGTGGCCGTCGGAACGCGTCGTCGGTGCAGCCCATATACCCGTCGGGTCTGTCAACCCATTGGGGCATGGTGCGCTGAGTAGCCTGCACTGTGCATGTTGAGAAGGCTGTGTAAGAGCTGATGGCGAAAACCATCGAGGTCACGATGGGTGTTCATCGGGGCGTGGTGCACCAAGGCTGCATGTTGAGAAGGCTGTGTCGACAAAGCTGAGTGGATGGCAGAGACCGTTGAGGCCGTGGACACATCGTCGGAGTAGCCTGCGCACCTGTTGTATTTGCCAACCCATCGGGCCATGGGACGCTGGGTAGCCTGCCTCAGCGCACTGAGCCATGCCGAAGGTTGTTGAATTTGGAGGGCTAGTGGACACTATTGAGGCTGCTTTAAGTAAACAATCAAAAGTACTTACCTGCTTTACGTGCTAGTATTAGCCACACTTTGCAAATTCTCGAGTGAGAGCGATGGTGGGCAGAGAATGGCTGCAAGAGCCAGGAAGGTAGAGAAGTAGTCACTGCGAGAAAGATGCATGCCGGTAGAAGGCCACGAGCGCGGGCCCTTCAAGCCAACAATGCATCTGGGCAGCTGGAAGAGGAGTGTGCATCTGCACTGGTGGGCAGAATTAAGAAGGGAAGGGCCAGCAAGTTGAACATTCTGCGCACCTAAATGAGGCGGGAAAACCAATGGTTCAGGCCATCTGATGGTATCGAGATACCTCATGAGACGCACGTGAGAGCGCAGGGCATAATGGGACCAGCATAAATAGGCCATAGTGCATGAGATACATGGGTACAATGAGTATGAATCAAGTGTGCTTTGTAGTAGTAGCTCGTGTAGCCCGTCCTGACCCCTTGTTGGCTTGCTTATTAGCTGTCTTCTTCAGCTTAGAGGCTGGCTTAAGAGCTGGCAGTTCAATCACATCTGCACTTGTGCATGCAGGTGAAGAATTGCCGAGCCCAAGTGCGGCAAGGCCGGCATCCACATGCTGAATATCGGCAGCAGCCTCATTGTCGGATACCTCTGGAGCCACAATGGAAGGTGGAACTCAATGTCGAGACAAAGAGCTTGAATGTGAGTTATGATTTGAGACTGGCTGCTGCGCTGAGGTGATTTGATGTGAAACCTATCAAGGGTGTTATTGGACAAAAACAAATTCTCACCTTTGCACTAGCTGCAAATTTTTGTTTTTGATGTGCGTCTAGGATTTTGCGTGCGTGTTTGTGCACTTTCGTGCATGTTCGTGCGTGATGATGCGCGTTTGGTCACTAACGTGCGCCATCGTGCACAAAAGCTCATGTTTGTGCACTTTCGCGCGCGAAAGTGTGCATCTGATGAGCTACGTATTCATTTTGTCACAGTTTCATTTTGGCTGGGTGCTTATCTTTGTGCACCTTCGTGCGCCTTCTCGCACTTTCGCGCACTTTCGTGGACTCGACGATTCAAATGAGATGCATAATCATGAAAATGAAAGCCAATTGCTAACTTACACCAAACTGAACAATAAAATGAATGCACGAACGCAAGCGAACATGCACGAACACGCACAAACGCGCACACATTAGCGCCATCACCAATCTCAAAGCAGGGCATAACGAAAACCAAAGCTCAGCAGCATGCACGATCGTGTACGTTCGTGTGCTTTCGTGTACGTTCGTCCACTTTCGTGCACAATCACACACATTCGCCCGCTTTCGTGCACTTTCGTGCGCGTTCGTGCGCGTTCATTCACGTTCACACACTTTTGTCTGCCAAACTGTACGTAAAAACTACGCCAGCCCCAAATTCATTTTTTTGTCCAATAGCAACCTTCATAGAAACCCTCTATATGGACGACTGAGACAGTGGTGATGCGGTGGCAGGTGCACGTGGCACTTCATTCGAAGGCAATGTGCTGTGAGAAGTATGGAGACCGACCGAGGAATGGGACAGTGAGCGAGCAGAGGCTGGAGCCACAAAAATTGCAGGGGAGCCGAATCGTGATGCTGATGAATGGTTCAGAACATGGGGTGCATAGGGGCTAACGTCTTCTGCAGCGCCAGATGGATCAGCCGCACCAATGATCTCATCGAGTTCTTCTCTGTTTGCTGCAGCCTCAGCTTCATCAGCCGCTGCTGCTGCACATTCATGCTCTAAGAAGTTAGGTTGCTTGTTCTCTAAAATAATCCTGTCCAACCACCTGCAAAGTTTAAGGAAGACAGGTCTTTCCCATGACTTCATAAGGGCTTGGTTCAGGTAGTTGCAGTGCGCCTCGGGAGCAAAGTTGTCGGGATCCACCAGAGTATCGCCGAACCTAGCGGAAGCTGAGTACCAAAACCGAATCTAGACAGATTACCTCAGAGTCTAGCTTGAATAATTAGAAAAATACAGTGGATGCACTTACAGACACCAGAGTAAGAGCAATTGCGGCTGTGGGTACTGTAGTAACACCATTGAGAAGAGTGCCACCCTTTGCTCGCTTTTTCGCATCCCCTGAGGCACTAAAAAGCCAGTCCCGGAGTATCTGTATCACGAGATAGCGATGAGTAAATCACACAGGAAAGCAACTCACATATGGCAGTGTTTTAATATAGCCAAATTTTGTCTTGTCAGATTTGTCCCCATTAGTGATGTGCGGGCCGGGCCTCAAAGCCTGCGAGCCCGCCAAGCCCGGCCCAAAAAGC